CAGGAACGCATATCGAAGTGAAGGTATCGGTATTGGTACCAGAACCGAACATTTTTTAACAATACCCAGCCCTATATCCAGGAGTCTTTCTCAGATCTGTTGAGTCGCAGCAGAGCAATCAGTAGCTGGAGCGAGGACTGAAACAAACAATCATATTAATCGCGATTAATCTATTATTGAAATAATTGTGAACTAATTTAGTAATGAACTAATTGTTAATTGGAATATAAAAAATGTAAAATGTGCCTTTAGCTCACAGAGCGCCCCACTTAGAGCCATAATTATATCAAAATTGTAAAAAAGAATTTCTAAATATTTTGCATTTAAGAATAAACATTTTTGTCTGTCAATATGCTCTATCCAGATGTTCTATCCTGGTGAACAAAGTAACTGCATGGCCATGATATAAAGTGGAAGAACTTTTCTTTTTAACCTATTTCAGCTCTGTCAGTTAGACATATTAAGCTACACTACTTTTGATCTTACGATCAAAAGTAGTGCAGCTTAATATGTCTAACTGACTAAGCTGATGTTACGAAAAGGAGATTGGTGACAGAGGAAAAGCTAAAGAATGGGGAAAATGCTTATTTCAAACTTTCAGGGGTTATAAATGTTTGAGGCTTTAGAAGGTCTAGTACAAGCCCAGGTATTTGTGAATGAGCACATCCCAGCTGATGAGAGGAAGCTAAAGCAAATGGTGCGGATGTACCTGGTAGGTGGCGCTACAGCCTAACCCTCAGGTGTTTTGATGGTTGTTATTTCTTCAATTAGAGGCTTTGAAACAACAGAACAAATGAGAGACGTGTCCCTACAGGACCCTCTACCTGGGTTGTAGATCCTCCTAAAATCTAAGGAGGCAGGAGCCTTCTACGGAAGCCTGGTGGTGACATCTCTGTTCATGTCCTACCTCTCTTCTTCTTCCCAGAGGTCTTCATCTGTCCAGCCCTGCTGACCAAGTCTGCAGACGCTCCTTCAGGTCCAGCAGGGAAACATAAGGTGAGTCACCGTTCTCCAGCCAGCGGGGAGCCTGGGACATGGTGAGGAGCTTCTTCTGTCATTTCCTGTTCCAGCTGCTGGGGTCCGACGACAGAGACGAGCCGAGGAGGTGGAACTGTCTGATGGGTAAAGAGGAACCCGGTTCAGTCCGACTTGGTGTGGAGCCGGTGAGTCTGATGGATCCACGGCGTCTGTTTGTGCTTCCTGCCATTTTCTTAACCCGATGCTGTGTTCAGGGTGTTCTGTCGGACTCGGAGAATGAGGAGCCAATAAGCAGGAGGATCAGGAACATCTCGGCGTTCATCAGGAAAACCAAAAACTCCTCAGCTGTCAGCAGGTGAGCAGAGCAGCTCCGACCCAGGGTTCTCCTGGGCTTTGGTCTCTGACTTCAGTTTCTTTCTTCCTCAGCGTTTCCCAGAGGAGTCGAAGCTGCACCGACCCGATGGAGGACAGAGGAGGAAAGACGAAGGTCGCTGTCCCGCCAGCGGCTGTGATGGAGCGGGTACGTTGGTCCAGATGAAGCTAGCAGGATCCTACACACTGCTGCTCTGACCCGTTCCTACGTCTCTGTCCTTCAGGTGGGAATCAGTCACAGCTCCGCAGCAGGAATCCTGCTGTCATCAGAGAACAGCCGCTCCATCTCCGCCCCCATCACTGCCCCCGACCGGCGGCTCGCCTGGCGGGCGGTGCTGACATCATCGGCTCCTCTGAGCCTGCCGCCGCCTCGAACCGAGCGCTCCATCAGCCCTGAGAGCAACGACAGCATCTCTGAGGAGCTCAACCACTTCAAACCCATCGTCTGCTCGCCGTGCACCCCACCCAAGCGGCTGCCGGACGGCCGCCTGCTGGAGCCCACCATCGTCAAAGCGACGCCGCGGAACCTGAGCCGCAGCCTGCACAAGGCCACCAGCTACGAGGCCAGTCCAGCTGTCCTGCAGAAGTGGAGGCAGATCGAGCTGGACCGAGAGGGCCTAAAGGTCAGCTCCAGGGCCACGCTCACTAGTCCTGTCTCTGAGCACAGCAAGCCTGAAGTAGGGGGCGGAGCCTCAAAGACGCATCAGCATCGAGGCACCGTAGCGATGTCAAACAGAAGGAGGCTGCTCTTTGAGCCTCCAGACATGGACAGCTTCCAGAAACAATCGGTGAAGATTCGGGTCCCAGCTGTCCGCTACAGCTGTGGTTCTGACCTCAGAGGGTGCGCAGACTTTGAGCGGCCAGGCGTTACCTCGGAGCCGTGTGGCGGGCCGGCGCCGCTCAGCCGGAAACGGTCATTCTCACCGTGCAACAACTCTGGATTCCAACCCGGAAAATTTGTGCCAAAGGACACTTCGAGTCCCAGGAAGGAGTGGGACAGCAGCATCCACAACCAGACTACCTCAAGGAGGGGCAAGAAGAGGAACCAGAAGACCAAACACCTGGATCCGGCCCTGAATCTGGACCGTAAGAGGAGCCGGACCGGCGTCCAGCAGGAGGCGCTGTGTCCGGCCCAACAGGAACAACAGGACAGAGCACTCGCCCTTAAACTGCAGAGACAGTTCGACCTGGAGATCCGCAGGAGCAGCCCTGACGGCTACTTCCTGCGGTCCTGGAGGTCCACTCAGAACCGTAGAAGGCGGGGCCTGAGGGCCTCCCGCCGACTCAGCAAGAAGCTCTGAAAGAGTCGGTTTCAGATTCCAGTAACTCAGATATGCAAAGAGACCAAAGGAAAGTTTTTAACAAGCAGATTGTTTCTTCCAAACACCAGCAGAGCACCAAAAACTCTCAGAGCTGTGACCAGAACCCCTACAGACCCTAAGAGTTCAACCTGTTTATGTTAATCAAGCTGTATTTATTGATTACTGCTAATCAGCTGATCAGTTCTGGGGATGGACCGATTCCTGAGTGATGGAACAGACATCTGCAGAGATCACCGCACCTAAAACCTGGTCTGTAATCCGCTAAGCATTTCAGCTCCTCACCGCAACATGCATCATGTAAACTGGCTGCATATTTGTGTGTATTTATTGAAATGTCAGTATTTTAAGCATCATCTCTCTGAAAACTCCTCAACCAATCAGAGCGCAGCAGAGAGGGCTGCCTGTTGGATGAACAAGCTGCAGCAGCCATGACTGCCTGAACCTCAGCCCAGGAATCGGTGCATCTCTTAACACTTCACAAAATTGTTTCCTGAATTAAAATAAAAAAAGAACCGATTTGTTTGGCTGCATTGCGTCCTGGTCGAATGCTCCTGTCTGTACATCATGTAAAACCGCAGAAGAAGAAATGAGCAAGGAACGAAATAAAAACCATATAACAGGAATGTGTCCCGTACAAAATTTCTTGACCTAAAAAACTTTGAAAGTTATTTTATTTTTAAAAATGAACTTAGATTTCTGTTTTTTCCTTAATTTTTGTTGGCAAATGTTTTATTTTCTAAGTTAACATGTTCAGTTTGCCTTTATTGAAGTGTTTCTTTTTATTTATTTCTGTTTAAAATAGTCTTTTAAATTAAATTTCAAAGACTTTTTGAATTATAAATTGCATTACATAAAAGTTATTCTGTAATTCCTTCACCATTGTTTTTTTTTTTTTTGTACATTTGTTTCCTCAGCAATGCTTAAAGTAGAAGATTGAGTATTTAATCATTGATTCACTGGTTTACAAACTATCTTCTGGTCACATAAATTATGTCGATACATGTTAAAAAAAGAACAATTTACGGGTATGCTAGCTTTAGATAGACTCATCCGATTACAACTATTAGCTGATGTTTTTATTTCTAATTTACTCAAGATGAGTAACTTAATTCATTCCCTGCAAATATGGATCTATCACTTCTGTTCTCACTAACAATGTCTACGCTGATTCAGGTTAATTGTGTTCCTGTTAATGAGAAAGTTGAATAAAATAAAATTCAATGGTCTCTTATAAATTGAAGCAATCTCCAGAGCTGTGAACACTTCCTTATGGTTAGAAATGCCAGAGGAGGTTTGCAAAATTAAGCTATATTCTTTGTAATAACGGAAAGATTGGTGGATTAGATGTTCTATGTTTTGAAATCCTGAATAGTTCAGTTTAGAATTTAAAAAAAAAGGATGTGGTTTGGAATATTTTCCTTAACTTTATTGTTGTCTGTTAGGTAAATGACTGATAGGCATTCTTATAAAATCTAAAATGTGGCTTATTTAATAATTTTATGTTCTGGCTCGGAAACTTAAAGCTCAACTTCTTGGCGAGACATGTGGCACAATGGGAATATTTCATGCAAGTCACTTTACTTTTAGGAATTTATCAGACATGGAATTTTAACGTCTGTTCAAAATGTGAAATAATGAAGGTCACCTTAAGCAAATGCTTAAATAATTTTTCTGGGTTTTTTTTCTCATCTTTTATAACTGGAGAGGTTAACTGGAGGTAAATCTGATTAAATTAAGAGAAATTTTCACAAAATAATGGGATTTCTGACACACAAAAGGCCAGTATTATTAGGGTTTAATAGACTCACACATCAATAATAAGTCTCATCAACACATAAAATTGTACATAATATATTCCCTGCACTAAAAAACTAGAGATTTATGTTTGATATTGATTATTATGGGATATTATGTGAAATAATTAAAACCGTTTTATAGTTTTTTTCAGTGAACTAATATCAGGGCATTTTGGACTTCTAAGCTTTGATGATAAGGTCATGGCTTAATGTTCTTCACCCAACTTCATTCCTTCTGGGAAATTTTCACCTTAAAAAGGAAGTTAAACTTAAAACACAATCACCTTTACTTGATATATAAAACATCACAATGAAGGATTTAAGAACAAAAAAGCCACGAAAAACATTTACATTCTCAACAGTCATATTTATTTATATATGTAATTTGTATTTTGATGCTATTTTTTTATTGTTCTTGCTTTCTGCTGGCATTTGGGATATGTTTGTATTATTTGTGGAAACTAATAAAGATTAATAAGGGAAAAAAAAGGTTGAGGCTTTTCAGCCAATCAGATTGGTCCAACTCACAACTTCCTTATTTGGAAGGGAAAGATGGCGGCTCGGAACGGGAAGAGCGGGCTCCTGGAGAAAGTAAGATATAAAGTTTTAATGTTTTATTGTTTTTTCTGCTTTCAGATGAGTTTTGATGGTTTTAATTTTTTTTCAAAAAATCAGACAGACAGATCTCAAATTTTTTTCTGTTGTTGAGAGCACCAGTTCTTAAATATTCGGTTTCCGTTAAGCTAGCGCTAAAACGTTTCAATTAAATTGAAATAAATAAGTCGTTATTGATAAAGGTGAAACGGTTTGTAAAATCTGGAAAGGGTTTTAGCTCTGTCCCTGCATCGAATATGTTCCCAGTTAATCTGCAGCTCTTTATGCGTGCAGCTGTTACAAACGGCTGCGCCAGACTTCATTAAGGAAACCGCATATTTTCATTTTATTTTAAAATAAGGTTAGAAAATGCGAGTGTAGTAGAATCATCATTACAATGACGATACAGAAAACCAATCGGCTATTGCTCTAAGAACCGGGCGGATAACACAAGCTCAATGCAACAGTTTTGCATCAGTATTTATCACGTGTATGGAAAGCCGAAACGGTCAAATTTAGCTCGAATTCCTGATTTTAAACCTAGTTCAAGATATGATGAAGGATCTAACAGCAGATCCTCAAGGAATCTCCCACCTTGTTTAGTGGTCAACAGAAATGTGAGTTAATGTTGGACTTAATGATCTTTAAAAAAACAAAAGCTGAAATGTCTTGCTTTAGAATCAGATATTTTTACTACTGAGAATCCGAGCTGGTCAACATTAGGAGCCTTTTATAGACTCCCGTTGCCTCTTGTGTCTTAAAAAAAACAGGGAAAATAGATTTAGTAATTTATAAATTATTAGCCTGTATGCTAAAGCGCTCTGAGAATATCAGAAACACTGATCATGGACAAATGATGGAGGTAAATGGGGGATAATCAGCATTAACCCAAATTTAAGACCGTGATATGATTTTCTGTTATGATGCAGCCACAGTTGGAACCGTTCTGTAAATCTGCCTCAGCCAGAATGTCCTATGGAGATCCATCCTAATGTAGGGTCACCAAGAGTTCAGGACCTTAACGACTTCAGGTTTGGTTTAGGATGAATCTTGGTGCAAGAAGTAATCTCTGGAATGTATAAATTATATTATTTTCTGATGTTAGGAGAATGCTGAGATGATAGGATGGTGTGGACTCAGAGTTTTGGTACAGCTGAAGCGATAAAGAACGAGGTCTGATGATGAAACTGTTCAGGAAACAGGAAGTCACAGATGCAGGCTGACGGTTTCTGAAGCACCATGTGGACCTGCCAGCTGCGAACACACTGAGGGTTAAAGCCGGTGATCCAGAGTAGGGCTGAAACAATTCATTGGATTAATAAATTATTGAAGTAATCGTCAACTAATTTAGTAATCGATTAATAATTAAATAGAATACAGAAACTGTAAAAAAAATGCCTTAAGCTGACAGAGGAACCCACTTAGAGCAGTAATTATATCAAAATTGTAAAAAAAAAAAAAAAACATATATATATATATATATATATATAGAAACATTTTGCATTTAAGATTTTTTTTTAAACAGTTTAATCTGTCTATATGCTCTATCCAGAACTCCTCAAGTGGAAACTTTTTAGTTTTACCTGGTTTATATTTGTAAAAAAAAAATCTTCTTTAAGGAACCTTTTACTGTCCGATTATTAATCGGTTAATCTAAAAAATAATTGTCAGATTAATCCATTTGCAAAATAATCATTGAATTCAATTCAGGTTATTTATATAGTGCCAATTCACAACACCAGTAATCTCAAGGCACTTTACAGTTTACAGTAGATGCAACCCTAATCCAGAGCATTTAGCAGAGGCCCGTTTGAGCCCGAACCATCAGGATTCTGATCATCTTTGTTGTTTCAGTGGAGGATCGACGAGAAGCCGGTGAAGATCGATAAATGGGATGGAGCAGCGGTGAAGAACTCACTGGATGATGCTGCAAAGAAGGTTTGAGCCTGCTGTCATGGCAACCATTTTTTGTTAACGGTGTCCATATCTCAATTTGTTTACTTGTGCGTTCTCGTGTACTCAAGAGACATCATCAACCTCAGCCCTAGTACTGGTCCAATTCACAAGAAGACTGAGAACAGACAAAGTCCCCGGATGTTGTTGTCGCCCCTCCCTCTTTAGCGAGTATCCATCAGAGCAGACTTGTCAGTTTTTTCGAGATTGACAGCTGTCCCAGCATGCACTGCGGCAGCAGCTACCAATGGAGCGCTAACAGAGCTCAGAGTATTACGTTAAAAATTGTCTTTTGCCGTTATTTAATAAAAGTAGATTTTAAGATCATTCGAACATAATATTTTTATGCTTCACTATATGGCCTATTTACAGATTTAATGAGTAATTAAAAAAAAAAAACATTTCGGAAGTTGAAATGATCGCGGCACCTAGCGGAGCTTCGAGGGTAACCACAGCCAGGGCTAACATTAGCCCGTCTGCAGCAGCCCTCTCTCTGCATAGCCGCATGTGAAGAACCGCTGGCTCTTATGGAGAATTTTTTTGTTTTATTTGACAAAATGTTCATTTGATTTGTGTTTATCTAACTGTGTTCATTATTAATCCCTCACTAAATAAAAAAAGTAAGAATGTATTATCTAGAGACTATTAATAATAGGAGGTGAAATGCAGCTCTAAACGAGCCGAGTTTATGGTGACGTCATCGGTACGTTTCTGCTCCAATTGTCCCATATTTATGCTGCTTGCTGCCGTTCTCCCAGAGTCCATATTTTTTTCTGTTCTTCTCAAATACATACTTGGCGAAGACACGAGTCCGTACTATCATTCTTGTGAATTGAGAAAAGGCCAGTTTTTTAATCTTCTGTAGAAACCCCTCTTGTAGTTTTTTGTGCTTCAGCTATAGGTGTTCTGCTCCGCCCCCTGCAGGTGCTGTTGGAGAAGTACGGTTACTTGGAGAACTTCCAGCTGGTGGACGGCCGGCTGCTAATCTGTACGGTTTCCTGTCTGTTTGCCATGCTGGCGCTGGTCTGGGACTACCTGTACCCGTTCCCCGAGTCCAGGCCGGTCCTGGCCTGCTGCGTCATCTCATATCCTTTACCCAGATTTGACCTTCAGCTTAGATGACCGAATTAATTTCATTCAATTCAGTTTATTTATATAGCACTAATTAATTAATTAACAGATCAACATTTTTCCCAATTATTGGGATCCCTGAGGTTCATAAAAGGGGGAAATATATCATGAAATATATAAATAAAATTTTCTAATGAAATAAGCAGATGTATCAAGAGTTAATTGAAAAAAACATTCCAAATGGTTTCATGTCATTTTAAAACCAAAAGTATTTAGAAATGATTATAATTACTTCCTTCTGTACTTCTTTATAGGTATAGGCTGAAATATTTATAGGTATTTTGGGGATCACAGCCTGTGGTACTGATGATTTTTTGGTCACAGGCGAAACTCTGCATTAGATAGTTTGTTTGGGATGAAGCTGTGCTCCCTAACTCGTCTTCATCACGTACTTCATCATGATGGGCATCCTGACGCTGTACACATCCTACAAGGAGAAGAACATCTTCCTGGTGGCTTTGCAGAAAGATCCAGCCGGGATGGATCCGGATCACATCTGGCAGCTGTCGTCGTCCCTCAAACGGTTGGAGCGCTGCAGCTGATTCACTGCATCCTGCTATTAAACACACACAGACTCTGCCAATAACGCAACATTCTAATGTTTTAGTCTTAGAATAGTAGATTTGTTTTTATTTTTTCCTTCTTGATCTAAATTTCTTGGTTTATTTTATCTTTTTTAATATTTTTTTATCTCCATTTAGAAAACATGTTATTTCGCTTGCTATTATACTTCCGACCATTTTCCCCTCATTTCGTCTTCAGTTTATCGCTAGCCTACAATACGAGGTCATAGAAACTAATTTCCAGGCTCATGGTGAAACATGAGACGGTGAAGTCACTCGAAGCGGGCTGAAGGGTTTCTGTTCTTCCTCCGTTTGTTGACTCTCCCTCTTTGTCGACTCGTTTCCAGGTTTGACGATCAGTACACCCTCAGAGTTTCCTTCACGGACGGGAAGACGAAGAAGTCGCGGGACTCGGAGTTCACCAAGTCTGTGGCGACGTTCTTCGACGACAGCGGGACTCTGGTGATGGACCTGTTTGAGAAGGACGTCTCCAGGCTGCATGACACGCTGGCCACAGAGAAGAAATCCAAATAAGGCGGCGAACCGCCCGTCAGGGATGGTCCTTTGGTTTCATTTTGGTCTCTTAACATCAGATTCTACCTGATCTTTAGCTTTTGGGTCAGAACACCAAGGCTTCAGCTTTGTTCCGGTTCATTTTCATCACCCCTCCTTTACATCATCTTAGTTTGGTTTAAAACATCCGAGAATCTGGCTGGTTTCCTCCTTGAGGAGCTCCAGGAGCCTCATTGATGATGCTCCTGCTGCTCCTGCTGCAGGTTCAGGTAGAATCTGATGAATCGGGTCAAACTGAAACCAACCAGTCAGCTGGAAGGAAGCAGGAAGATTGACGTTTCCCATTAAACCAAACTCCTTCAGCGGGTAGAGCAGGAGTTAATCCGCTGTGAAACAAGTTAAATTCGACCTTCTGGACGTCATGCTCCTGCTCACAGTCTGAACTTCCTGCTTTGGTTCTAGAGGGGTATAATTGGAGCAGCTTCAGGCAAAGGGTTCCCATCTACAGGTCATCTAGTTTACTTTGAGAATAAATACAATTCCTCTCTCCCCCCTAATGAGTTTCATTTCAATTTCAAACATCTGTTTCTATAAACTGTAAATGTGCTTAATATTCTGCTCAGAAGGCCAAATCCCAATGAAGCATTTGAGTTGTTTCTGGTTTGTGTTTAAAGGGAAAGATTCCGATCGGTCGGATCCCTTCTAATCGTTTTCCAATGTCAATGTTTTCTAGAAGGAAGTGGACTGAATGTCGACCAAACAGTTATTTTATTTTAAATGTTTTATGTTTCATTGTTTTTCTGTTGGTTTTCACCAACACAGCTTACATCTTTGTAATGAAAATAAACTTATTAAAGGCTTCCTGAGTTGGTTATCTCTTTGGTGCCTGTAAACCTCTGGGGGGCGCTCTAAGCTCAGTCTCAAGAATTTTCTCCTTTGGTGTGTTGATCTACAAAGTGAAGTACAAATAATGCTCCACAATAAACTCCAAGGAAAGCACATCGATTGTCCAGCTCGGATTTAGTCCGAGTATAAATGCAGTCAGAAAAAACATGGAGGAAGATGTTCTGCTCAGATGAGACCAAAACTTTAATTTTTTTAATTAAGTCTTGTAACTGGATGCTGCAGCAGGGACAGAGAGGCTGTTTATAGAGTTAATGAGAGCTGCAATGTAGCTAAGAACCCGTTTGAGGCTGCAGAAGACCTGAGACATCCAGCCAGAGATA